CCCCCCGCCCCAGCGGCGCCGCCACCCCGGCCCCCGGGCCCGGCGCCCCGGCGCTCGCCCAGGCGGCTCACGCTCAGCACGGCCTCGCCGCCCCCGTGCGCCAGGATGGCCTCCTTGTCCTTGCGGCGGGCCAGCTCGCGCCGCTCCCGGAGGCCCACGAACCAGCCCACGCTGAAGCCGGACACCACGGCGCCCACCACGAAGGCCGCCACCGACGACGTCACCAGCAGGTTCACCGACACCAGCCCCGCGCGGTCCTCCGAGAGGCTGGCGCGCAGGAGCCCTGGCCGGGAGCGCCGGGTGAGAAGGGCCGCGCTGGGGGCCGTCCCGGGCCCCCTCCCGCCGCCTCCGGCCCGTCCGCCCTGTGACGTCTGTGTGTCCCCATCAGAGCTTCTCTCGGTTTTCCTGGGGTCCGTCTGGCCTTCCCCTCGCCCCCTCCCTGGGAAGCGGGACCTCTGCGGTTCCGAAGCCCCGGTGGGGTCCAGCCGCCCCACCCCCCAGGCACAGGTGGCCTCAGGGACCAGAGAAGCCTCAAGGACCGGGATTGGGGGTCCCCAGGCGTCCGCCCTCCCTGCCCCACTCACCGATGCAGTCCCCTAAGCCTGGGGTGCTGGCCCCGGACACGTCCTGCTCGAAGGCGGCTCTGACGGGGTGGCAGGGAGGGAAGCGGCACCGTCAGCAGAAGCCCGGCCTCAGGCCGGCCGCACCCCCGCGCCCCGCCGCCGACCTACCTGGTGCCGGGGCTGAGGAAGACGCAGGAGCCGTCGGGGGCCCAGCCGCAGTAGGGGTCCTGGCTGCCGATACAGTTCCTGGGCCAGACAAGGCGTCCCTCAGCCGTGGCCACTCGCGCGGCCCCGGCCGCGAGCCCGCCCCTTCCTAGCGACTCCCGGAGTCCTCCCGGCGGCAAGTCTTTGTGGGGGGACGGCCCGCTCCCCACTTGACCGACGAGCCAATGAGGCTCGGGGCAGGGAACTTGAGCCCAAGCGGCAGAGCTGGGCTGGGCGCCCTGGTGGGATCGCCCCAGATCTGTGCCCTGGACTCGGCCCTCCAGGGTCATTGTTGCAATGACGGGGGACGGGGGTCCTCTGTGTGGAGGGTGCGCCAGCACTGCGCGGGCATCCCGACCTTCCTCCCACTTTGGAGACAGAAACAGCCGCCTCCCTCAGTCTGTCCTCCCCACAGCAGCCACCAGAGGGCGCCCGTGAGCACCTGAGTCAGGGCCGGTCCCTGCTCTGCCCACAGCCGTCCATGGCTCCCACCTCCCTCTGGGTCAAAGCCCAAGTCCTCCCTGCAGCCCACCAGGCCCTGCACGACCTGCCATCCCGTCCCCACCCTGCCCTCCTCCCTCTCTCCCCTTCCTTCCTCTGCTCCAGCCACACAGGCCTCCTCACTGTGCCTCCAACACACCAGGTGTGGTCCTACCCCAGGACCTTTGCATGGTCTGTGCCCTCTGCCTAGTTCATTACTCAACAGGTCAGGATGGGCCCCGGACTCGAACCCGGTTCCCCCTCCTCCCTGCACTCATCTTTTCCTTGCTTCCCACCCATGGCCAGCCCAGGGTGGGCCACTCACTTCATACACCCCGAGTACTGCTGGCAGCGGGCCACGGGCACGCGGACCACACAGCGAGGAAAGGCCGCCAGCAGGCCCCCCGAGGCCGTGTCCAGCTCCAGGCTCAGCAGCCGCTGCCCCATCTCGCCACCGCCGGACCGTCCACACCTGGGGACGAGCACAGCGATGAGGCTCAGGGTGCCAGCCCCACCTCCCTGCCCGCTGCTGCCCTCTCCCCACCTTTGCCAGGACTCACCTGTCCGGCCGGTAGGTCTCAAACTCCTCCAGGAAGACACTGGGCCCAGCAGTCCCTGAGGCGCTGGCATTGGGCCGCACGAGGAACTTGAGGACGGTGCCCGCCTCGGAACCCAGGAAGACGACGGTCTGGTTGCCCCAGGGGCCGGCACCCACATCCACAGCCACGCGTGTCAGCTGGTGCCTGGAGGCCCAGGCGGGGCGGGGGTCAGGCCGGCCCCACAGCCACCACGCACCACCGAGGCCGGCACGGGTGGGGTTGCACCGGTGCGCACGACACTGACACGCCAGTACCCGTGAGAGCCACCAAAGTGCGTATGCACAGATGCCAGGCACGTGGGTGCACACACAGGCACGTGGGCGCACACGCCGGAAGCAGAGGACACGTGTGCTCATCACAGACAGAAAGAGCTCCCCCTCTCGCCTGCAAGCAGCCCTGTCCCCCTCCCCCACCACCCTGGCCTGGGCCCTGGTCCCCACCCCCGTCCCCTCCAGGACTGACCGCATCAGCGTGCGCACGATCCACGGCGCGTGGCCCAGGGAGGGCACCGCCTCGTCCATCAGCGGGTGGGTCTTGACGAAGTTGAGGATGTCGTCGGGCAGGGCACTGGAGGCGTTGTACTGCATGCCAGGAGCCGCACAGCACCCGGGCCTGGGCCGGAGGGGCAAGAGGGAGGTCAGGGCGGACCTGGGGGGGTTCCCCACCAAGGGCCCCTGATTCACCAGGGGGACCCGCTGCCTTGCCCAGAGGTCCTCAGTTTTCCCCATCTGCATAATGGGCACAGCCGAACTCAGCAACAGCTACATAACCATGCGGACCTCATCTGGCCGCCCGACCTGGGATGGAGGGGGCTCTCACCGGGGCCGCGGCACCTGATCCTCCGGCACTGGCGTCCAGATGGACTCGGGGGACTTCTGCTCGCGGAAGCGGCCTTCAAACACAGCAGCCACGTGTGTCATGTCGAAGGCGCAGACGGCCGAGCCGGGGATGCTGGGGAGGGGTGTGGATGAGAGTTTGGTGAGCCCGGTGGGGGCATCGCCTTGAGCAAGCGTGCAGGGGGCTCCTTGACCTCAGGTGCCAATGGATGTTCAGAGCCCTGGGCCAGAGATGCCTCCTTCCCCCGACTCCATATCCTGAGCAGCTCTCAGAGGGGACCACAGACCAGCTCCTCTGAGGTCACCTCCCCATTCAGGCCCTGATTGTCACTTGCCTGGGTGTCCAGCCTCCCAGCTGCTACTCTGGCACCGTTAGAACCTGTTCCCCAGGGGGCTTTCCAAAAACGCAAACTGATCTCACCCCTCTCTTGCTCCTTACTCTCCCATGGCTCCCTAGTGCTCTCAGGATAAAGTCCAGGCTCCGCCCCATGGTCCACAAGGCCCTGCAAGACCTGCCCCGTCCTCTCCCTGTCCTTCTCTCCCCACTCTCGCCCCATCAGCTCACTCTGCTCCAGCCACACAGGCCTCCCCGCTGTCGCTTAAACACACCAAGCTCACTGCAGCCTCAGGACCTTTGCACATGCTGTTCCTCTGTCTTCCAACACTCTTCCCTCTTCCTCCATCTCACACACAAAGCCTAGCTCCAATGTCCCTTCCCCTAGTAAGCCCTCCCTGCCCCTCTCCCTTAAAGGCAGAGGATGAGGATGTCCCCCCACCGTCCTGGTTCTGACCAAAGGGCCTTGGTGGGTCAGTGTCTGCTTCATCCCACCCCAGCCTGGGGTCGAGGCCAACTCAGGACCCTCATTCATGTTTGATGCATGAATGTGGGACCTCCCTGGCCATGCCCACCGAATGCTCCTGAGGGAGCACACTGACCTGTTGCTGGGCGTGGAGAAGACCGCAAGGACTACGGGTCGGCCCCCCAGGCTGACCACGCCCGTGACAGCCTGCAGCACGTTGAAGTAGAAGTGGGAGTCGCCGGGCACGGAGCAGTTGAGCCGCGCCTTCAGGAAGGACGTCCACTGCTTCTCCAGCACGCGGGGGGAGCCCCCCACGTCGTTCTTGCACACGCGGGCCACGCGGGACACCACCACCTGGGTGTGACGGCAGACAGATGGGGGGCCTGAGTCCGTGTCCTGGGAAGACCTGCCCACAGGCCGCACCGCCCAGGCAGGATGGAGGCGTCTGGCCCTGGCGCCGGTGGGACCTCTCTGGGCCCCTGCTGCCCCAGCGGGAACATGGGGACAGCAATGATGATAACCATAGTCACTGCCACCTGGTTCTCACATCTCTTACACGCCTTCCAAGTCGGGGTTATGATATCCACATCGCACATATGGGGACACCGAGGCACTGAGAAAGGGATGTGACCAGCCCAAGGTCACACTAGTAGTAAGAGGCTGTGCTTCACTACTGTCTGGTGCTGGATGGATGGATGGGTGGGTGGGTGGATGGGTGGATGGATGGGTGGATGGGTGTATGGACAGATGGGTGGATGGGTGGATGGGTGGGTGGATGGACAGATGGGTGGATGGATGGATGGGTAGGTGTAGGGATGAGTGGACGGCTGGGTGGTTGGTGGGTAGTTGGATGGTTGGGTAGGTGGGTAGATGGATGGATGGGTGGGTGGATAGATGGATGGGTGGATGGATGGGTGGATGGATGGATGGGTGGATGGATGGATGGATGCATGCATGGGTGGATGGACAGATGGGTGGATGGTCGGATGGGTGGGTGGATGGACAGATGCGTGGATGGATGGATGGGTAGGCGTAGGGATGAGTAGACGGCTGGGTGGTTGGTGGGTAGTTGGATGGGTGGGTGGGTGGGTAGATGGCCAGATGGGTAAATGCGCTGATGGAGCGTGGTGGGCTGAAGAACAGACAGACGGGTATGCAGGAAGCCGAGCAGGTGACAGGTGGGCAGTGGAGGCAGGACGGTAGCTGGGTGGGTGGACAGTGGAGGAGCGACAGCCCCAGGGCATATCTGACCTAAGCTCGTGTCCTCCACCAGGGCTGAGTGTACCAAGGCCACTCCATATGTGCCTTCAGCCTCGGGGCCTGGTCCCCGCTGGAGGGGAGGCCCTGAGGACCGGAAGAGGAGGAGGAGGAGGAGGGTGGGACCCTCCCACCCCAGGTGCAGATTCATGGACTCACCTTGGGCGCCCACTTCCCGTGATTAGAGCCCCTCCCCTCCACACCCCACCGCACAGGCCTCACCTTCTCCAGGTAGTTAAACTCCATCGCGATCTCCCGGAAGAAGAAGTAGACGTGGCTGCCCCACTCCACCGCGTGGACGAAGTACGGCTCTGCAGGACAGGAGGGGTCAGAACGCAGCCCCTGATATGACGAGGGGCTTCTGGGGCGGAGAACTCATCAGCTTTTACGGTGAAGGGGGACGTAGGCTGGTTACCCAGGCAAAATGAAACAGACTCAAAGTTTGGGTTATTTTAGGGGGAAAAGGGAGGTCAGAGCCTAAAATCGCCATATCTACTCCCCACAAATGGCAACATCTACTATTTTTTTGTCACCTTCCTCCCTCGTGTTGAAGAGCCAAGTTCCCGTTATACCCCTGCCATCGTTCCATTTCAGGCTTCCAAAGCCACCCACTTCCAGCAGGTTCTACTTTAGATCCAACTGAAATCATCCCTCTAGCTTTATGTTCAAAGAGGTCAATAGATTCCAAAAATGAGGCAGAAGTCCCCTCGCTAGCTTCTCTGGGACTCTTATTCTGGTGGGGGGATTTGATGAATGTCAGCCCTGCCTGGACTGGGCCCACTGCCTTCTGGGCCCCACCTTTGAACCACTTGGAGTCGTGTTTCACGGTGCGTAGGGTGGGCCGGTCCCCAAGGCTGCGGTAGATGACAGCGTCGATGGCGAGGAAGTCGGTAACAGTGGCCGTGAAGAGCATCCCGTCTGGATGGGGAAAGTGGGGGAAGGTAGGCAGGAGATGAGATTGTAGAGGCCAAGGGCCGGGTGGGTGCGAACTCAATTTTCCAAGCCCAAGCTCTGTCCCCAGGGGAGCCCCTGGGTCCAGGCTGAGCCCTGATCCCATCCAAGCCCTGTCCCTGACAAAGCCCCTGACTCAGGCTGAAACTTAATGCCAGATGAGCCCCAAACCTGGGCTGAGATTCCGCCCATTTCGCAGCTGGACAAGTGGTCACCCAGCTGCTTTCTAAATGACCCAGACTCCAAGAGTGGAAGATGCCAGGCCCCGCGCAGGGCGGGGGCTGATCAGATACACAGTGGCGGAGGTGACTCACCAGAGAACAGGGCGACATTGGCGTGTTTGGGGTCATACGGGCAACGGGCCATGCCGCTAATGTTGTCCCCGAGAGGCTGCAGGGTGTCTATCTGCAGGGAGGATGAGTGTTAAGTGACAGATCTCCTAGCCATGCCTGGCAGGCCCTGGCTCCCCTGGCCCCCCACTCCAGCGGGAGTCCTGGCTGTACCATGGATTACTGTGTGACTGTGGCCATGTACTTGACCTCTCTGGGCCTCAATCTACTTATCCGTAAATGGGTCTAAGAGTTGTGGCTGGGCACGGTGGCTCATGCCTGTAATCCTAGCACTTTGGGAGGCCGAGGCTGGAGGATCGCTTGAGGCCAGGAGTTTAAGACTAGCCTGGGCAACACAGCAAGACCCCAGCTCTACAAAAAATAGAAAAATTAGCTGGGTGTGGTGGCGTGCCCATATCTACTCAGGAGGCTGAGGCAGGAGGATCACTTGAGCCCAGGAGTTGGAAGCTGCAGTGAGCTATGATCGTGCCACTGCACTCCAGGCAGGGTGACAGGCTGGTGACCTTGTCTCATAAAGAGAAAAAAAAAGAGTTGATTCTTGTTGTTAGTTCTGTAACTGGCTCATTCCTGACCCCTTTGGAAACCACTGACCCCTCTTAAGCTCAAGGCAGGGAGGGCCCATCAAGCAAGGCTTCCTGCAGGAGGTGACACCACTTGGGGAGAGGCCCTGGCCAGGGGAGGTTGCACCTGCGTGTCGGGGACTCACGCTGTAGTTGGCGCACACCGGGTTGAAGGCGTTGGAGCCACACACGAAGAGCGTGGACTCGTCCCGAAGTAGCAGCACCTTTACGAAGTTTCGACACTCGCCCTAGGCGGGAGAGACAGGGGACAGAGCGCAGGCGGTATGGGCGTGGCCACGGTGTGGGCGTGGTCCGGCTGCAAGCTGCGGGGGCGTGGCAAAGGCAGAGGGCGGGGCCAGGGCTTCTGGGGACGGTGTGGTGGGCGGGGCCAGGGCCCACTCACCTCCTGCTTGCCTTTCATGCGACACACGTCGATGTCGCTGGGGTTAGATCGCCAGGTCAGCTTCTGCGGGGGCAGAGAGAGCTGGTGAGGGGGCCGCAGGGTCCCCGACAGTCCCAGGAAACTCCCCTCTTCCCCGGGCAGGGCTGAATCCACCCGGCTCCCCAGAGCTGCGTGGGGGTCCGCCCCCCGTGGGATTCCAGGTCCTGCCCCAATCCTGTCGCCTGGGCCCCCTCCTCACCCGCTGGTAGCGCAGCTCCGTGGACGTGGGGGGCTCCAGCTCCACCCGGTACAGGTTGTCCCTGGGGGGAGGGGCACAGTTAGTGAGATTAGAGGGGACCTCTGCCACCCCTCACCCCTTCCAACCTGTCCAACAGGTAACAGGTGGGGACACTCGGAAGCTTCTAACAGCAGCAACCCCAGAGCTAAGCAAACTCCGCCTGCCACTCCCCCAGGCCCCTCCTACCCCACACGCTGCTCGCTCACATGCCCCAGGCCCAGGGGCCTGCACCCAACACGACCCTACATCAGGCGCCCCCCTCGCCCCTCCCAGCCACCCACCAGGCTCCCCGTTCCCCCTCCCTGCAGAGGAAACTGCCCTGCTCAAGGTCACTGGTGACCTCGTGAGGTCAAGTCCAGAGGTCACTTCTCCATCCTCATCCTCTCCAAAGCATCTGACCCTGCCAGGCACCCCTCTTCCTGGGAACACGGTCCTCATGCAGCCCCCGGACCCCACACTCTCCCGGCTTCCCTCCCACCTCTCTGGGACCCTCCTGGGTTTGCCCCTGTCACCGTTGTGGGCCCCAGGCTGGTGCCTCTTCCCTCCTCCACCCCCGCCCCTCCTGGGCGACCTCGTTCACTCTGGGGGTTCGAAGTGCCCTCTGCACCCCAACGACACCCCAGTCCTGTCTCCAGCCTGGGCCTGCCCCTGAATGTCCCCACTTCGGCGACCCTGGGGGTCTCACACTCAACACGGCCACTCTGGGCCTGACTGAACCCCCAAACCTGCTCTGAATCGCAGCTGAGGGCAGCTTCATCCTTCCAGGGGTTCAGCCCACAAGTCGGGAGGGTCCCTCACCTCTCCTCCCCATCACAGCCAGACTGGACCAGCCCAATACCCTCGCCCTGGTTCCCAGCGCCCACCTGCCCACCCCCACGGCATGTCCTCCCCGCAGCAGCCACCAGAGAGCGCCCGTGAGCACCTGAGTCAGGGCCGGTCCCTCCTCTGCCTACAGCCCTCCATGGCTCCCACCCTCCTTGGGGGTGAAGCCCAAGTCCTGCCCTCGCTGTGCCTCCCATACCTGTCCCCAATGAACAGCGTCCTGTTGACTCGCAGAACTCGCTGGATGTTGAGGTCGTCAGCACCCTCCGTGGGGGTCAGGCGTCCAGGACCGCTGCCCACGAACACGGGGTAGTGGTTCAGGTCTGGGGGGACGGCAATAAGAAGGGGTTTGAGTGGGTGGCCCGAAGTCATGACCCTTCTAGAGGTGGCTCCTGGCCTGGTGAGCCCCCGGGGGAGCGTTGGGGGAGGCACAGCAGACCCTCTCATGAAACCCCCCGCCCCCCTCCCC